TTTGCAGCAGAAGACAGTTGATTTTTCCTCAAGTATTTATGATTGAATATCTTTTACCCTCGCGTCATATTTAACATTGACTTTTGTAAGATTCATTAAATTGTGAATTCATGGAGAAATTAAAAGCAAACAATTTAGATGTAGCAAAAATCCTGTAGTGTCCGTACTCCACTTGGCAGAACATAAAATAACACTCCCTATAATTCGTTGTTTTCACCATTGTGACCCGGGTTCGATTATCGGTCTCGCGTCATTTGTGTGCTGAGTTTGTTGTTGGTGCTCTGCTTCCAGAGGTTTTTTCCGCCGGGTACTCTTACTTACACCTGTTTAAATATTTGATTTCCCTTGAGCAAGGCTTACCACGTCTTACCAAGAAATGAGAAGTGATAAATCTCAAGTGATGCTGCATAACGTTCAAATATGGTCCTTCTTAGCCCTTCAATAAGGCTGTCAAGAATTCTTGAATCAGAATTCTGGTGGTAGTTTTGTGGTTAAAAGGTAGCCTTGTATGGATTTTCACCGATATTCACCTTTATTTACGTGAATAGACCTTTTTAGCATGTACGTTGAGACCACGTGATGTTCTCAAGGAACATTTTGCGTACATATAAACACGCATAAGACGACATTTGAAAGAAACTGTTCTCTGAACGTACATGCTAAAAAGGTCTATTATTCTTCGTTACGAATCGACAAGTGGGCTTTTAAGAAGAAAATGTCAGTCGCTGCAAAATGAATGGTTTTATGCCTCCTTATCCTCGTTATATCGTTATTCCCATGAAGACCTTAAAAAAAAGGGGATGACGTTTCCACCATTACTTGGCAACATTTCAAATTCTTTAAAGAATATCCCACAAATGCAGCCACAAGGAAGACGTTTGATGCGAAGTCTACTTTTTATTCATGGTTTTAACCTGGATACATGTATAACGCAGTTTTATCAAGTCATTTACAAATGAAAGAGGTGTTGTGGAACAACAGCTGGGTGAAAAAACCTCCTCGTGGGTCCACTTGCCCCTTGGAGGAAAACCCCGGGCCAGCTGAACCCCTCAATCAAAGACCGCTCCGGCTGGGTCAAAGCACACTTGAAAGAATGTGAACCATAACTCGTTGAAAATAGCTCCAGGAAAGTGTAAGCAAAAACTGTTTCTAAAAATGGATGTTTATACATATCCATAAAAGCAACCGAGAGACCCTCGTCTGGAAAAACTGACCCATTTGACTCCTGCACTTAAACATCGAAGGTGAAGCATTCAACAATTCACGTGAAGTTGTTGATTTAAATGAAGTTAATCCTATACATTGAGGGTGAATTTTGACTCTGGCCTTGATGAGTGATAATAGCTATTTATTTTAAAGTTTTAATCATTTATCTCTCCAATTTCTAGTGTTAATATTAAGTCTTTGCCTATTTTGCATTCGTCATTCTCTCTTATGGTCTTATCACTCTAGTGTAGTTCAACGCCAAGGGGTTTTTTAACTTACCTACGCCGTTTCGTGCGATATTTACTTTTATTTACTTGCATGATACGAAGGAATGCAAATAAATGGTACGATATTATGACCTAAAATGTAACATTTTAACACCTGTAACGCGGCCAGGCCTTTATTATTGTACCATATTATATCTTTTCCCCTTTTATCGTACGTGTCTTGAGCTCCTACTTCGTTGGTAGGAAGTTGTTGACAAACGCGCGCATTCCCCCAAATTACATTATATCATCACCCTCCACTTTTACTTGTAAGGTCATCGGATCGAACGAGATTATTAACCTCTGCTTCGCCAGTAGTTTGTTAACAAACGCGCGCGCACCATCACATTTCATGCATTTACTATTTATAAGTTGTTTGATAAGGCGCACTCCATGATATCGTGTGACATTCGACTTATTTAGTTTGTTGCGCGCACACCATCCTATCGTATTTGACTATAACCTTCATGCGCACTCACCATTAAATCCATTAAAGCTATTCTCCCTTCACTCACGTACAAGTTGTGTTCAAGGCATTAGATAGTGGGATAGTATGATCATCAACCAATTCTTAAGTTAAGTACTTTGCTAACACAAACATGGCATTTATATTATCATAATATTAGTATCTACTTTGTCAGTAGACGCGTGTGTTCCATCATGTCTAGGAAATTATTATCCTCCACTTACTTATAAGTACCATGCAAATGCACCCAAACCATTTAATACAATAATTTCTGTATCCACGTCGTTGTTTATAAGTAAGTTGTTTGCTAATGTGCGCACACCATCATGATATCGTTCTTATTCACTTAAAAGTTGTTTTCTAACGCACGCACGCTATTATGCCACGTGATATTATCACCCTTTATGTTGTTAAATAAGCGAGCATCATCATATCTTATGATACAAGTCAATATTTTTAAGTTTTTTTGTGACCATCTACTTCAGTTCGTACATGGGTTGATTATTAATGCAGGCTATCATGTCACATAATATTAACCCTGTCAGTAAGTCATTTGTAAGTT